GAATTTATGGTGATTACCATGAGGTAAAGCAAATAATCAATGCCTCCGCAAAGAAGCTCCGTGACCATCCTAATCTTCAGTAGGAGGATCTTCTCCTTCAGAACCACATGGACCATGCAAAGGGCAGGTGATTCTTTTCAAGTGCCAAAAAAGGGACTCGTGGCCAATGCTCCTCTCGACCATGTGTTGCCAAAACTGAGAACGTGCAGATTCTCTGTGACTTTCCCACACTGGAGCCATCGACTACTCTCCCAGGATATTTCATCACTTTCCGCAAAGCCCTCGCTCAACCTCGAGGGCTTCCTGACGGCCATGTGCCCTCTGTACGTGAACAGCATTCATGACCGCTGTGAACAGCCTGGCTGCCGATATATCTTCACATCGGAGAAGGGACGAAAGACCACCGTCTGAAAATCCACCAACCGTGAAGTTCAAGCAGATTTTGATTTTTTTCAATTGTTACAAAATTCAAATCCAAAGTGTAAATTTGGCAGAGAATCAATGTTTTCAAAAATACTACAAAGTTGCTGTTTGTGATGAGACTGCAAGGGGTTACCCTGTACTGTATAGGGACAATATTTTTCTGTTTCAGAAAAGTGGCAATTCCGTTTTCAAAAATCCTCAATTCTGTTCCCGATTCAGGAATTCCCCCAAAAACATTTCATCAGTATTAGTCTATGACAAGTCCATGTTTGAAGAGTCGTAATTTTATGTCACATGTGTGTCTTCATGCATTACAAAGTATCACGTACATTAGTCATGCAACAGCCGTTGATACAGCAAATAATCCAAATTGAAATGTCCGCCATTTTCATTTACCCACTGGTGAGAATATTTGGAAATTCGTCACAAATGTTAGGGCTTTGTGCATTTGTGACTCCAGTTCAGACCTTTCTCATATTGGGAAGTGGATAGTTTTCTATCAAGTTCACAATGTGGTGAGATCGGAACGTCTGATTTCGTTTGAAAAAAAGATCAGTTCTTGTTCTGTTTTGCTGCTGTATTCTTGTCCGTTCTGCACGGCTGTTCACTATTAATCAAGGCATCTACATGTATGAGCAAAAACTTCAGTGACATCTTTGAAGAATTTCGGTCCTTTCTTAAATTAGGTGATTTCTAATTTAGGTTTATGTGACTTAATAAAGTTTGATATTACTGGTATAGCAAAAAAATGTCCTTGCATAATGCATTCTTGTAATATATTTGTGATGCATTCTTCAAAAATTCCTTTGTACTCAAGTGATAGAAATAATTCTGTATTATTGATTTTTTTCATGTTACCAATATGCCACTGTACTTATCAGTTATTGTTATCATAAAGAATACTGAATTATGTTGAATTTAAAGATTAAAGTCCTTGGAGTACGTCTGTCATTGGCGTATGATGGAAAATTACCGACTAATGTATTGCTGTTCAGTTTACCGCACAACTTGGCTGATAATTCGTGTAATTTGTCGTTTGTTTATGTTATGATTAAAATGTTGATCTATTTAGAAGGCATAGAATCCTTCGACTCTGAATAACTGTTTCATTCTCCATTCCAGTATGTCGCTAGTTTCCTTTACTTAGGACTCTATAATAGGCCCACTCCAATACAGGCAGTCTTTATCAGGCCCAAACACAGTTGTGCTATGCGTCTCAAAAGGAGGGTCAGTAGGCCTAGGTCGGATTTTTTTGGTTTGGGGAACAATCTGTGTGCTGATTGCATGGCATCAACAGGGAGACATCTTCCAAAATTATCTCAAAAAGTGATTAACACCTGTCTTAATCTATGTAAACATTTCTACATTCAGCATTTCACAAGAAAATTATACACAATTCACACAGTGCTACTCAGGCGACCGCAACGGCAAACTGGCCGACAATGTCCACGAGTATCGTGTGGTAAGTGTGTGTGATGCATCTGGACCGGCGGGCGATAAACCTTGTGCCACGAGCAGAACAACCTCAAATTAAACTCACGAATGCAAAAAACACATACATGAATAAGAGACCAAGTTCTGTGAATTGCAGAAAACCTCTTCCAACATCGGTGTCTTTTCGACAAGCAGCCTTTAGGATTGCATCCGTGACGTGTACGGCCGATGTAGAGTGGACTTGCACAGCACATGTACATGATGTGCTAGGTACACACTGGTTCTAGTTGCTACATTTCCATCACACATTCTTTTGCATGGGTGCGGCGGAAACCAGAGCACCTTTTCGTGCATTGAGCTTGTTTTCACCACTGCGACAGCAAAACATGAATCGGAACTCGTGAAAATAATGCCTTTTTTCAAAAATTACAAATGTAAGAAGGAAGACACATAAAAATTAGCATTTTAATGTGAGAAAAGATTATTGAAAGATGTATGTGAAGACAGAAAAGACATCAGATTTCAACTGGCCCATACTATGGTATCAGCTGGTCCAACAACTTTTCTAAAGGTCTATTCTCGGGCCAGTGGACACATAATTTCGACCCCTGAAAAGTGTACTGTACTGGTCAAGTCAAGCCCCCAAACGGCCCAGCTTTATTGATTGGCATTCTTTTCTTCATGCCCGAGAATGATTCTGTCAGCTCCTCAAAGGAAATCCATATGTTGACTCCAGTTTAGTTAACAATACTCCCCTGACAAAGAACCAAGATAATGAGCTACGCTTGGCTGAGCCAAGGTGAGGCCAGGAGGGTCAGAAGCCCAGCTTTAATGATTGCCATGCTACCTTTTGTGAGAGGATTTGGCCCCCCAAATTAACTTTTGCTCTCTGCAAGGCCCGGGCTTGGCTCAGCCTTTCAAAGGCTTTCACGCGTCAGTCTGTCCGCCAGGCTCCCTTAGCAACCCAATGGTTGGGATAAGGAGAACCCCATGCTGCTCCGAACGGATGTGCCTATTGGCAATCGATAAGGCGTGTAGTTCACTACCGTGTCTCGACGTAACAACTGCAAGCAGGAACACCAGTTGGATGCTTGGATGGAGATCAGATATGACAGACAGCGGCTCGAAGGGGGACTGGCAAGAACACACAGAACGCTTCCGAGATCCCAAAATAAAACCGGACACTTGAAGTGGGAGGCTTGACAAACATTCCCCGAAGGAGATGGTGGATAGAAGATTTGTCAGAAACAGTCGATCCATCGCTGAAGCCTGAGTGAACAGCCACCAAGGCTGACCAGTAGTTGCGGATAGTAGCAACCTGGAGGCCTGAGTGGAAGAGATACATAAGAGAGTCTACAACGGAGCTCACAGAAGCTACAGTTGGAGAAACATCGTGGTCGTCGCACCATCTATTAAAATGTTGTAGTCGGATGTTGTAAATTTTGCAAGTGGAGAGTCGTCGACCCCGGGCAGCATGAACGCAGTGTCTGCAGAAAGGCCCAGTGCCCTGAAGGATCGTTGGACAATGTCCAGCACGTCACGTGAAGAGTCTTCGGCGCTGGGTGGCGGATCCTCAATCTGAGTTGACGAAGGATGTCTTCCCTAGCTGGAAGGACCAGCAGTCGCTGTACCAGGAGTCTTATCAGCCTTGGAAACCACGGTTGGCAAGGCCAGAACGGGGTCATGAGAAGAATCTGACATGGTTCCCGCTCTACCTTGGAGAGAACACGTGGGATGAGGGAGATTGGTGGGAAGGCATACGCTAGTAGGCCCGACCAGTCAACCTGTCGTGTGTCCGTCACCCACGCCTGTGGGTGCGGGAACCTGGAGCAAAATATTGGAAGGTGGGCATTGTCGGCAGATGCGAAGAGGTCGACATGAGGACGCTCAAATTCCACAAAAATCTGGCTGACTACACTCGGATGGAGAGTCCACTCTATCAGGTTGACAGCACCCTGGGAGAGTGCATCTGCTATGCTGTTGCTTGTTCTCGCGATGTGGACAGCCCGACGAGTGATCCCTTGATCGCTCGCCACATGAAGAGCAGCCATGTAAGGACACAGAGCTGAGGGGAGCGAGTGCCACCTTGGTGGTTGATGTACGCCACTGCAGTGGAGTTGTCGCTCTGGATTCGCACCGAGTGGCCAACTAGATGCTGCCGGAAGTGCGAAGAGCGTTGAATACCACTTTCAGTTCTAGAATGTTGATGTTGATTCTTTGGGGTTTCTGGACAGCAAACAGCAAGCACACACAAAACGCTCGTAGGATGATGAGGGATTTTTAATAATCAGCTTTTGCTCTGTTCCAAAACTCCGAAGATTTGTGGGTATATCTAATTCGCACGGTCTGTCCATGGAAGCAGCCATTTGGGTTTGTATGACAACGATCGATCTCACACAACAGCATGCCGTGTCCTATCTGCTCCGAAATGTACCTCCCAGGCTATGGCTAGAATGAGTCTCTAAGCTCCACGCACATGCATATGCACATAACTGTATAGCGGAACGGAGTCAAAGACCTAGCTCTAGCCAACAGATTTGGATGCAGTTTGCTGCTGTCCGGTTAGTCTTGAATTCAAAGTGATAAACATTAAGTTGCATCGTTATTAACAACTGGTGTTCAATGTTCTCTTTGTGTACCGGTAGGTTAATATGCCTGGTACCCTGCCACATTTGTGTGGCCTATTGATCACTGCTGCTAGCACCTAGATTTCAAGTTTAAGAATGAAAAATTTCCCTTCACGATGTTTTTAAAGTACGTGTATGTACATGGACACGGTGTACATGTACATGCAAAGTCAAACCTGTCTGTACATGGGAACAAAGTTGAAAAAGATTGCATTTTTTGAATGTTTGCACGGCGCACAGGCTACATGTATTTCAGACAAATCAGAAAAATATTTTATTTGGGATTTTAACATAAAAAGTGAATTTCGATTTTCAATTTATTTCCTTGACCCAGCACCCACTATTTTGAAAAAAGAGTTGAAAGTAAAAAAATTGAAAATTTTGATTTTCGTGGTAGTGCTTCAGTTGGATTTAGCGCAAGAGAGCAGAAAGATGTTTTAGCAGAAAGTCTTTTGCTAAGTGCATAAACTAGTACCTGTGGAAATCATTAACCCATGATGGCAAATTCATATTTACCTCTGTGGACCAATCCTTTACATCAAAGAAAATGTTCAATCCAAGGCTCAAACATTCGACAGTAGCCTCTTCCAGGGTAGGGATGCTGGCTTGTGGAAACTTCTCTCTGTGATTGAATTAGGTCAAGAATACACTGCATGGTTATGAAAAAGATGGTTATGGGATTTATTTTTCTACGATAAGGTCTTATTTCCAAGACAGGGAGCATTCTATATGTAGGCCATCATGTAAACTTTATGATTTAAATGAATTTGACAAGTTTACTTTTTTATATTATGTTTGTGTCTGTGGCTTTAAAAAGAAGGTAAAGTTTACATAAAAAGGAGCCCCTTTTCAAGTTTCTGTGATATCACTAAACGCTATTCTGAAAAATGTATATTTATGATTATTTTGAAAAGTAGACATCAATTATATAAAACATCTATCAAGGTATGCTGTATCAGAGCTTTCCACACACTTAACCTATCACACGTGTCAAAAACCTGCCATGCAGACGTAATGTTTCATGTCTTCACTGTAAAATGTCTTTGTCACCACGTAGAACTTTATACCCCTTTTTTTTTTTTTTTGAAGAATCGTCAATATTCATTATGTCTATCCCTTTTGTTCATCCCTCATAAAAATTCATTTTCCCAGTCAATCGTACACAATTGATACTTTGAATGCGGGCCGTGTCAGCGTCACTCTGATGCTGACCGGATTGAAGATGACATGTTTTTAAAACCTCCCCTTTTCATCGCATTTATTCTCCAGGTAAATCACTCTATTTATTCCTTTTTTTATCAACATAAGTCAGTAGTTATCAATATCATGATGCAGTGTTTTGTCTGTGAGACTCATAGGCCTAAATATTGTCAGTTCTTCTATTTTCCTTAATTTATCTTCGTTTGCTGTTCTAATCATTTGCATTTTCAACATGGCGCCTGTTAAATGGAATTATGGCGAGAAACTGATTCAGACATATTTTATAAGTAATTTTAGTTAATTTGAACTTCTCTTGTGTATAGCCTAATCAGTATTTCATTGAACCATTCGATTCATTTGATAATGGCATTTATTAGTCACTCGGACGCTGACCGGATTGGAGATGACATCTTTTTAAAATGTTTCCTTTCCTCGCATTCATTCTCCAGAATAAATCAACAAAACCAGAGATGTCGAAGTCCTCTGCTCCCTTAAATGACTATAACATAATACCAAGGGTCACATCTGTAACATCTAAATAACAGGGCAAGACTGGGCACAGAGTATTATTTTATGTTAGTTTCAGTCACGGAAGAAGAGATACATTTCACAAGGACTCACAGAAATATGTCCTTTTTTCTTAGTGTGCAAAAACAACTGTGATGGCAACATTCATGTTGGTATTTTTTTGTAATTGGAACACCCCTATTTCAAAAGTTGATTGACCCTAAATCTGAAGGAAAGGTCATGCTCAAAGACTGTATGGCACCACATAGCGGCGCAAGATTGGGAACTATGCAAAAAAAGTGTAATCATCATGAGCACCATTTGAGCAAGCAATATGTTTGCACAGAGTACATTAATGTAAATATACAGGCATGCACACTGGGTAGGTAGGCCACAATGTCATCTCCATCACTGTCCAGCAAATTACTGTCAAAGTCAGCAGAACAAATTCCCAGACCTATCATTTTGGAGGTTTCTGAAGATTACAGAAAGGTTATTTACACTGCTTGTCGATTGTATCACTTTTTAAATTCAAAAGCTGTCAAAAGCCCAGGTCTTTTTTAGGCAGCATGAATACAAATGAAGGAGAAGCAATCTGTTTGAATAGGTTACCTCCACGTATGTTCGGTCCCTATAGACTGTGCATGTTTTCAATTTGTGTATTCGTGCATGCGCAATAGTGACATGTGGTCGTTGGCCTGAAAAATTATTCTAGCAGATAACGCATATTGGTGGTGACCCATGTGCGGGATTTGTACTGCCCTTTCCCTTGAAGACCATGTGAGTAAATAGATTGTCAAGAATCTATCAAATGGTGATATCTAATAGCTTCTGGTAAGAAAGATCTCCGGAAAATGAAAAAAAAAGGTGGAAAATATTGATTTAACGACAAAGGATAATTACGGAAAAAACTATCCTTTTTTACCTAACTTTGTGTCTAATTATCACAATTTTGCTGGGTTTACCCTTATACAACTTTGATGCCGCATGAAAGACTAGTAACTATTTTGAACAAAACAGTTTATTACTTCTAGGAAGAACATATTTTCTTGAGATTCACTTCTTTTTTCGTTTGGACCCACTTCTGTCATTTTACTTGCATTTCATCTTATTTAGTGCCCAATTTTCACACTTTTGTCAAATTCCACTCAGATCATTGGTGATATTGTCTGGAAGACTGATGAATTGTTTGTATCATTCAGTTCATTTCTTCAAGATTGAGAGCCATTTGTCAGAAATGTGGTTCATTTGAATGTGGATTCAAATTTCTGCACCGAGTCCAACGGTGGAAAAAATGAGATGACTGCATTTGGGTACGGCATACACATCAGGAACGCACCTGGGTACAAGTGCATTTTGATAGAGTTGACTTTTACTACATTGCACTAATACATACAATGACATCAAACTACCTAACTTAAAGGCACAAACAAAAACCTTTCCAATAGAGGAGATAGACATAATCACCGCGGTAGATGATGAATACAGAAAAAGATAATCGATGACTTGCGATGTCATGTTGCTGGTAGGGATGTTTCGGCTGCTGGTGCAGCTAGCCTTCATCAGGCAACTGAAGTCTGGATGCTGCAGAGTCCACTATATACCGCTGGACCGCGTCCTCCGCATGCCCCCCGCCGTGTACTGCAGACGTAGTACGGGTGACCTCAGCAGGGGTCGCACGCTCCAATCCATGGGCGTGTCCTCAGCATGGCTCTGTTGTGCTCCGCTGCTGCAGTGATTGTGTTGACAGATGGTGGGAAGCCAGAAGCCGGGGATGTCGACGCCGCTGTCTCTGTTGATGCTGTGTCGGTTGAGGCGGATGTGGATGGCCTCCTTGATGCATCTGGTGTACCAATATTGGTCCTGGTCCACACACTGCACGCCGTCCCAGTTAGGGTGGTGACAAGTTCCCCAGGTGTGTTTGGCTACTGCTGATGAATCAACACGGAAGAGTCTCACGTCGCGCTGGTGCTCCTCTATTCTTTCACCGACGGGTCTGCCAGTTTCGCCAATGTACACCTTGTCGCAGTCACAGCACGGTATCCTGTACACTACTCCTCCGCGTCTTCCGGGCGGGATAGGATCCTTAGGGCGCACTTGTTGGCTCCTCAAGGTGGTGGACGATCGGAACACGGTGCGGACACCCTGGTCCTCCAGGATCCTCTTTAGCCGTCCAGAGATACCATCCATGAAGGAAAGAGCGATGAAGGCCTTGTATTCCGGTTGCTCCGTTTCGGTGCTGGACTTGGATCTTGATGACTGCCAGATGAATGATGTTGGGTACCCATTCGCCATGAGGGCAGCGGTGACTCGGTGTCTCTCGGCGGCTGAGCAGCGTGGTCTGGTGACTAGGCGTGAGGCACTTGGCCAGACCCCTTTTGATCCTCAACACGAAATGGTCCAATCATCTGATCTCCAGCGATAGCTACCCAAAACATGACTCCACCCCCACCTTGTTGTCGATGTAGTTGCACTGGTGCAGACTGCCCCTGAGTTATCCATCCTCTGGCACATCCATCTGGTCCATCCAGTGTTGCTTTACACTCATCCACAAAAATAACTTGTGAAAAGTCAATTTTCATATATTTTTCAGCCCAGGAAATGCGTTTGGCTTTGTGGTTTTTGTTAAGAGGTGGTCGTCTTTGAGCCTTTCGAACCTTGGCAACCTCCTTTAAGGCCTTACAGTGTGTGGTTCTAGATACTTTAGGCAGTTCGCATGCTTCGAATACCTCTCTGCCGGTTGCTAGAGAATTTCTGGTAACATGATGGCGAATCTTTCAAAGGTGCCGGGCATTAGTTTTTTTATATTTTGATTGAACTCGCTTTTTTCGACCACTTTCGCTGTTCGCCACAAATTTTTTACACAGTACTGTGATCTCTGGGAAAGGAAATTGGCAATATCCAATGTAGATTGGCCCTGTGAAAGCAACTACACAATTTTTTGCTTTTCAGCAGGCTTTTTTACCCATCTTTATTGTACAGTGGACTGTTGCATAATAACTATGGATAGTGTTTTCTGGAAATAACTCACATTTGGACTTGTATCTCATGAGTAACAGACAATGCTTCTCCTATTGCGCATTTCTCACATGTCCACTGAGGCATGGAGAGCAGTTGGGGCATTACGGAACACGTTGTGTTACTTCAACAAAAACACATACTTGCATAATAAGCTTGGACACATACTTTCATAACAAGTTTGGACACAATGTATATGTGTTCTACATTTTTATTCTCAGAATCTAGCTCCCGCTCAACAATTTTCCCATGTATTTCAGGATGAATTGTTGATAACGCATGTATGAGAAACTTCTTTGTTTTGTTCCTTTCAAGGACTTTCCACCATCTTTTCAAGAAAGGGGAAGCTTCACGCATGCACTCTTTGCCCTGCTATCTGCTCAAAATTAAAGGTGAGAAGTTATCACACATAATATTTTAAACACAATGCAGAATAATTGTTGACCACCCATATTTAATGTTTAGCCAACATAAGATCAACAACGTTGTCTCAATATACGTTAATCATTAGCTGCCAAGGTGGCATTCACCCTAAAGATTATCTAATCAACATGCATGACAGCAAAGATTGTTAATGCAGATTTTTTATAGGTTATACAAAAGTAGTTTAACCTAAAAATTCAGTCAGAATAAGGATTGGTAACAAACCTGTTATTTGCAAAAGATTGTGTATTTGATTTACATGTGCATGTAAATAATGTATTTGATATTGCAGATTCTGCAGAAGTAAGCCAACTTTAGCTACAAGCGATAGCTGAAAAAAAACTGGCAAATTGTTTACTGGACTTCTACACCATGCACATGTACATGTACTGGTAGTGCAAGACCTCGAGGTTTCCATTTTTTCAAAAAAGGAGCATCACTGTGAATCCAATCACTACATACATATATATGTGT